ACATAATTGCTTGCGGAAAAGACCATAATGTCCTTGGCCTTTTCAGCTGGAATATCATCAAATACAAGTACTTTCCCATCATAAAAGATTGTCATCTGTGCACATTTTGTCTCTTCCTTTGTAATATTACTCTTCATTACACTGTAATTAAACAAGATTAACAATTTAATCACAAGTATTAACATGCAAAAAGGTAAAGTGGTAATAGAAGACGAACCTGGAATTTCTTAAACTAGGAATCTGTTGTAGAAAGAGATGAGGAAGCTATTGAAAAATCATATTTCAAAAGTTGAGTGAAGAGAGAGAGAGAGGTGGAAGGTTTATCTTATGAGGAATGTGAGGAGTTAAAAAGACGCACGAGTTTTATGTGTGTGAGGTTTTCTTAAATTAAAAGAGATTTTGTTGCCATAACACTGCTAGTGGTTGACAAGTGACAATCGAGTAGTAGGGTGACAATCGATCGGTTTCAGTCTGTTTTGAATCCAAAATTTAAATCCGAGGTAAAGTGTGGTTTCATTTTTATGATTCAATTTCGATCGATAAAATTTCAGTTTTTGTTGGATTCGATTAAATCGGTTTTATTATTAAATCGGATTGATTTAATCAATTTGATATTTATTAGAACAACCCTTTAACAATGATTATTTTTTAAAATTTATTATAAAAAATATCAAAATTTTAAAATGCAACAATTTTTTTATTATTAAAAAAAACTTATTATTACGGAATAATATTTTCAATATTATTTCACATTAATTTTGATGATTATCATACTTTAAATTACAAACTAAATAATACTCAAAATTTTATATTTTATCTCTTGTATTTTTGAGAGTATACAATGACATCATTAAATTATAAAAATATAATATCATGCGATATTATAAATCTCATTTTTATACTGAATCAATCATATAGTAATAAAAATAAATAAAGTATATATTAATTAAATTCGGTCGGTTTCGATTTTCGACGGGTCTAAAATAAACAGAGCCGAATAACATTATACTATTCAAATTAAGCAAATGAATCAACCAGACACCCGACACGACAAAAAAGATAATGGACTCGACCGGTTTATTCAAATTTGTCCACCGTAATCCATAGTTACAATTCACTCATTAAATTCAATTTAATGATGTCTTATTTTGGTAGATGGATTTCAGCACGTGTTATTTATTTTATTTGCTTAGATCTCTTGGGCTAAGGATAAAGGTTATACTATCTTCTTTCTTTTTATCTCAAAAATATCTCATGGTCTCAAAATAAAGTTGTTGATGTTTGATACTATCTCCAATTCAAATTATAAAATATTTTGGATATTTTATACAAATTAAAAAATTTAACTAATATTGAAAGGAGAAGAGAAATTATATTTAATTTTATAATATTATCTTTCATTTATTATTTATAAAATAAAAATTTTAAAAATTGAAAGAAAAATAAATAATAGATAGTATATTGAAAAAAATATCATTAATGTCATATTGAAATTATAAATTGATTTATAATTTAAAATAATTTTTTATAAAATGACTTATAATTTAGACAGAGGATGTTACTAAAAAAAATCCCCACTTGCATTATTGAAAAAAAAAACAAATAAATTCAAATTTATTTTTAAGAGACAAATTTTATAGAATTTTGTTGTGAAAATTACCATAAGGATGCAAAGCCATTACGATTTGCTGTCGCACACAGGTAAAAAAAATGACTATAAAAAGTGTAATATAATAAAGTCGTATAGCAAGGATTTTAAATTAATTTAACTAAAACAAAAAAAGGAAAAAGGGGGATTTTTAGGTTTTCGAACAATTGAAAATAAATAAAAGGATTATAATTATGATCAACAAATTAATTTACTGGCTCGATAATTTCAGACTTATCATCAATTATTATATCACCAATTCTTTAAACGGATTCAATTCCTATTTGATTATAGTATCGATTAACAAGCATGATCAACACTATATGAATTATATTCTCATTTGCCGCATTAAGCATGACGGTCGAAGATCGAGCGAAGTTAAATTATAACTTAAGTTAATACGTGAAGTTAAGGAACATGCATTGATCAAATATAATCAACACTATTATAAGCAACTCAAATTAAGATAACAAGAATACACAAAACAGATTGAAAGGAATTGATTAAAAACTGATAATATAATAACCTCTTAGTCTTGATGAATTTTCAAAATAGTAGATTAACTTTGGACTTTAGTCGGCCATGTAATCCTAATGCTCTCTCTAAATCCTATAAAATGTTGAGTTTAACTTAAATAATAAAGAAAACTGGGCTTTAAGAGTACCGATCCGAATAACATAAGTTGATTCAAAACTAACTAATTTATATTTCTTAAGTCTGACACGAAAATAATAATTTGACTCTTCTGCACTTCGATTTGGCTTTTGACTTCGATATTAAAGTTGTAGCTTATCTTGTTAGATATCAAACATATATTAGAACGCATCAAATGATATTTTGTATCTCAAGTTATGATCTGCATAGTAAAAAAGTGTCAAACTACTGTTTCTTCAGAAAATAAATGACGGAAAAAAATAAGAGGAAAATTAAACTAAAATTGAAGAATATACTAAAAACAATACAAATAAAAAGAGAAAGTATATAATATTCGTAGCACAATAGTAAAAGAGTATGCATCAAAATGCATTGATCAAATTCCTCCACACTTAAACTTTTACATTCCGAGCAAAACTCTAAATTCAAAATTCAAAACAAAGTAAAAACAAAACATACAATTTCAAAGATTTTTATAATCACAAAAGGGTAAGCAAAATTACCATTCTAAGCTTCAAGAAATATGTCATTAGTGAGTAACTTCTTGTGACAACCAAAGCAAATTATAGGATATTTTATCAAAGAGTGCATCATAAGTAGTAAGATCCTCACATGATAAAATTCTCTCAACTCTCAAGTGTTTAGGTTATCCGTTTACACTCAAAGCACATCATGAAAGTTAGCATCACCATAAACTTGAAAAGACTCTAACATCCACACTTGAAATACATGCTCACAAAGATCAAAAGGACTTTATTCGGGTTGTAATTTGGCCAAGGTAAGGATGAGATAAATCCTAAGGGGTACTAGGCTAAAATTTAAAGGGACAAAAGTGAATCGAAAGGGACTATAAGAGTTGAACTAATCATCACTTTATTCACTTTCAAAAAACTTCTTTGCAGCCATTTTCTCTTTTCTCTTCTTTTTTTCTATTGTTTTTTTTAAAAAAAAAAGAATAGTAATATGAATTTTCTTTCTTTTTTTTCTTCAGTCAACTATTGAAACGTCATAATAAATATACTAATTCAACCCAACATAACACCAAACAAGACTCTTTCATCCCTTAAATAGGGTCATAACATTGTTTTTCACTTTTAGACTTGTAATGAGTTATAAACAAAAAATAGGATAAATATGCTCAAAGAGGTTTCAAACAAAACATGATAAGTTCATAATTGACTTTTTGACTAAGTGGCTAAAAATAAAACAATTTTTCCCTTTATCATATCAGTGCGCACAAGTAAACAAAAAATTTCAACAAGAGTCAAGTTAAATTTTAGAGTAACTATCAAACATGAGTGAAATCACATAAAAAAGAAAAAGAAATGTAATTTTGTATATCATCCATTATAAGACTCAAATTCTCACCAAGGATAATGATATAGCACAAATGATGCATAATTTAAAATGTAGTTTACTTTATCATACTGAGAATGCAAAGAAAATCACTCATATCACACCACGAATCTTTAGTCAAAAGAAGGAAGAAATTACTTGCACAACACAATCCCAAAAACCAACGAAAAAGCATGCATTTTTTTTGTTATTATTATTTAATTTTTTTATATATTTTAAAATTGAAAATAAAACAACAAAAATAAATGACATCTCTCCCCCACACATAAAATACACATTGTTCTCAATGAAATAATCAAACATAAAATAAGAGAGAGGAAAGAACACACCCTAGTAGTCAAGACGGATAGATGTCTGCATAAGTAGCATTTCCTAATGAGAACTCTTCTACAATTTCCTTATTTAATATAGGTCTCTCATGGAATAGTTTAAGGCCATGTCCATTGACTTTGAAATTTTTATCAATACATTCACTTTTTATTCTTAGATCAAAAAATATTCTTCTATAGGTAAAAATGTCAAATGGACTGAAATTATGGCACGTAGTGGACAAATGTCAAATATGATGTCAGGACGTCGTAACAACAAAATTAACACAAGAACAAATTAAAGAAAAATTGCAAGAATTTAAATAACACAAAGTGCTTATTAACCCAGTTCAGTGCAACGTCACATATATCTGGGGGCTACCAAGTCAAGAAGGAAATTCACTATGACAATATTAGTTCAAAGTTAAACTCCACCGTTTACAATTTCTCACCTAATCACTACCTTGTACAACTTCTACCTAGAAACCCTCTAGATATCACAAATAGAAGTAACAACACACTTCCAAGAACAATACTACCTTTGTTCGTTTATATAAGAGACAATTCATTTTTTTGGTTCATTGAATAATCAATGTATATAGTCGATAAATCGACCAAATACATTTTTTATTCAATGAACCTAAAAAGTGAATCGTCTCTTATATAAAAGAACGGATGTAGTATTTAGTTTTACTTAAAAGCTTTAAACTAAGTATAATACACTTTTGTGAACAATTGACAATTAACACAATCCTACTCATATGCCAAAAGATCAAAGCAAAATAAATAAATAACACGTGCTGAAATCTAACTACCTAAACATGACACTACTATTAAATTGAATTCAATGAGAGAATTGTAACAACTGGATGTGGACTTGCCAACGCCACTAGCAGTTCCTGTGGCAACAAAGCTTGTTTGCATTAAAATAAACCTCACACACACAAAACTCGTGCGTCTTTTTAACTCCTTACATTCCTTCATAAGATAAACCTTCCACCTCTTTCTCTTCATTCACTCTCAACTTTTGAAATATGAATTTTCAACAACTTCCTCATCTCTTTCTACAACAGATTCCTAGTTTAAGAAATTCCAGGTTCGTCTTCTTTTACCACTTTACCTTTTTGCATGTTAATACTTGTGATTAAATTGTTAATCTTGTTTAATTACAGTGTAATGAAGAGTAATATTACAAAGGAAGAGAGTAAATGTGCACAGATGACAATCTTTTATGATGGGAAAGTACTTGTATTTGATGATATTCCAGCTGAAAAGGCCAAGGACATTATGGTCTTTTCCGCAAGCAATTATGTTAAAGAGCATCCTCAAGTAGCAACCGCATCGGTTATTTATGGTAACTTAACATATTTAAGAGTGTGTGTTTGATTTGTGTGTTATGGTTTTTATTGATGAATTTTGTTTTCATGTATTCAGATATACCAATGACTAGGAAAGCTTCACTTCATCGGTTCTTGGAGAAAAGAAAGGATAGGTAAGTTCAGAGAGAGAGAGAGAGATGAAATAGAAAAATATGAATTGTTTGATGTTTGTTTTATGTTTTTGCAGAATTGCTGCAAGAGCACCATATGAAACAAGTAATCGAGCAGTGATTCTTAATAAGCCAATTGATGAACATATGCCATGGCTTTCTTTGGCACCAAAATCACCACAAGATCACAAATCTGAGTGTAGCTCCACTTCTGTCTTATTTTAACTTTTGTTGTTGGATTGGATGGATTCCAATATTGTATGGAATTCTCTACTATAGCACTGTGTTGTTTTTCTATCAACTGTATCTATCAGATGTGTGTTTCTCTATTTTTTGTAGGACTGAGTCCTATGCTATGCTCACAAAATTATGTATCTATGTTTGTAAATGTTGTGGCTCATGATTATTAGTAACATTATTAAGAATGTACTTCTTGTTACTCACATTCAATTTGCAGAGTCGGTTAAGTTTGGTAGAGTTGAATTGGTTTTAGTAGTATATATAAGGTACTATATAGAAACCAGAAAAATATGATGTAAATCAGAGTTATATGAACTTCTAAACTCTAATTGGACTAATTGAAATCAAAGTAACTCTCCTAATCTCAATTTCCATTCCCTCTCTTCTCTTATAACAGAAATTTCTAAAATTAAAGAAATATTTAAAGTAACTCTAATCAGGCAAACATAGGAAACTGTTGTGGAATCATCAGCGAACTGCCATTGCAACACAATTTACACAATTTTTAAGTTTATGGCTGCCTTATGATTTTTCTTTTTTAAGAAGGAAGAGATAGAAGATTTTTCAGTTACAATAGATATTAAAGTTCAACCCTAAACCCTTACATTTTTACTTTAATTTTGAATGTATTCATGGAACACATCTAAAAATTAGCACAAAGATACATGTTTTTCAAATGATATAATCTTATTTGGAGAGTCGAATGAAAATTTAAATGAGAAATTGGATACTTGGAGACGAATTTTAAAAATGCGTAACTTTCTCATAAATAGAAATAAGACAAAGTATATGAAATGGAAGTTTTAAGTTAGAGGTGAAAATTGAAGACCACACATATATCTTGGGTCCTTAATACTAAATATGATGGGGAAATAGAAGGGATGTGAACCATCAAATTTAAGCTGGGTGGCTAAAATATAGAAGGGTTTCAAGTTTTTCATGTGACACAAATGTACCACTTAAGCGGAAGAAATTTTATCAAACTACAGTAAAACCTACAATGTTGTACAAGACAAAATGGTAGGCCGTTAAAATCAACACAAGAATAAAATAAGTGTAGTAAAGATGTGGATGTTGCATTGGATGTGTGGTAAGACTGGACATGAGAATATAAACGAAAATATTAGAGAGTATTGTGATAGCACCTATAATATAAAAAATGATGGACATAGTCATTGAATGTTCAAAAAAATTTGATTTTTATTTTAATCGCTTATAAAATAAAACAAACGGATAATGATGATAAATGGACGATGTAAATGTTTTACATTGACAGTGCATAGTAATTAATCTCGTAAAATACATTTCAAAAAGACACAAAAACTTAAATTTTCTTAATAAATGTGAATATTAGATTTCTGCTTATAAATTTTGTACTGAGTAATAATTCAATTTCCATTTTACCCTTATTTCCTCTATATTCTTCCCTACAAAAACAGCCATGAAAAATACATGTTCATGTGAGAAGGAACCCTTCTCTTTCTCAATTTGGCTTACGGTTGCCCGACTGTTGTTGTGGAAGAGCCGCCATTTGTCACCTTGTGCCGAACGGTTCTAGCTCCGGACGATTTGGGTTACGAACCACCATATCTGGTGGCTCGGGAAGTGGTTCATGTCGTAGCAAGGTCAAAGTCGTGAGAGACAGGTGACCAGAGAATAACTCTCCTAACAACTTTCAAACTTTCTGAATAAATCTCAACTTCCATTCCCTCTCTACTCTTATAACAAGAAATTCCCTAAAAAATTTATAAAAAAAATCTAACTCTCATTAGACCAAGAGTCCTATCACTATATTTTCTATTTAGCATTGTTTGATATTTAACAATTTCAAAGACTAGAATGTTGATTTAATCTTTTGTCGATGCTAATTCATCCATCACATAAAGCTTCATGTTTCTGCTCTCAAATTCAAGCTCATTACTTGAAATGACAAAAAATGTTCATCCGACCCAATCAAGTAACAAAAAAGTAATAAAGTGGAAATAAGTGAAAAAAATTACAGAACCGTTTTAGTAACAGAGTGGAAATACTATAAGCTTAGGAACCAAAAAGAATTGAACCTACAACCACCAACCAACACATTATCACAAATTTTCAATCTTGGCTACTTTTATTGATTCTTTTGACCAAGAAAGGAACCGGTTTTTTCAAAACCGTTACGTTAACGTTGTTCCAAACATCAGATAAGGTGGGGAGTGCAGCGATTTTCTCAGCAACAATCATGTCTTCTGGAAGAACAGAGCCGAAAACAGTGTATGCTTGTTTCCATTCTGAATGATCGGCTAAGCTAATAAAGAACTCTGGACCCGAACCAATCAAAGCAACTGAGCCTCGTCTTAAGAGCGGACAGTCTTCTAAAGGAAGTTTACGGAATGGTGTGCCTTGTGCTTCTAATGTTCCTTGAATTAACGCATACGGGGGACCAAAACCAGCCTGCAAAATAACAAGTCATTTACTATAAGACAGTGACACTGACGATAATTTGAGAAACTAAGTGATTGAATGTAAATACACGTGTCAGTGTTGTGTCAGCCACCAACACATGTCAGACATTAGGCACGTTATCAATATGAAATATCGATAGTTGTAGAGTGATATAGTGTATCTTACATTTTTTATATGGTTTCCTTCTGAATCCCATGATTGACCTCGGCTCTCTGCACGGTAGAATTCGCAGCCAGCACAATGGTGCAAGGGCAACAGTTCTAGAATATAGGCAACTGTGTGTGGAGCACAGTCAGGGAAAAGCTGCATTGAATAAAGAATATCCAGCATTAAACATATTTTTAACTCGTCGCGACAAAGTGATTGAAATATAAAGTAGCATGGTTTGATACATCACTACTACTATCTATTAAAATTCTGAGGTACTGATTCATAACTACTAAAGAAATTTGAAAAGAATGAAGAGCATTTAGATTTTAATTGTCTTAAAATCATGAGAACTTACTTTGATTTGAATAGTTCCGTGTTCAGTTTCGACCCCAATAATACCCTGAAAAAAGATGAAATAGAAATAATATTGACAAAGAAAAAGTTTTAACAATACAATGCATATTGTACACTTTTAGAATTTGGATTGAGGGTAAGACAACCTTACCAACCGTCTTATAAGGTGAGACAATTCTCACTTATAAACTTATGTTCAAATTATATCTCATCTAAGATGAGACTCTTAAAATACACATCACAAAGAAGCAACATCCAAATTGTTTGAGAAAACAAAAATTTACTGTTAAAATTAGAGTTTGACATTAGTCATTCCTACATAAGCGGCTTGTAGAAGAAGAATTGTCTCTACTTATAAACACATTATCAGTGGAGGTAACTCAACTATAATAATGGTAAGACATCATAATAATCAAAATAAAACAGTTTACTCTCTCCATTTCAAAATGACTATCTTATAACGAACGAAGGGACTACCAAAGAGCGTCGGAAGTGTCAATGTGGGACTACATATCCCCAAAACCTTAAGACAATGAGAACATGGGTACTTTTTTGTTATATATCCAACGTTTCCTCCATTTCTAGTCAATGTGGGACTCTAACCACTCACACCTGATTCCCAACAATCTTCCCCACAAGTGTGAGTCATCCACATCACTAATTTTGATTCATACTAAAATCTCACTTTTGCTCCCCCGCTGAGTCTGACTATGACCCTGATACCACTTGCTGCTTTGTTGGGGAGTCCAGAAAACGTCGGAAGTGTCAATGGGATAAAGTTTAAGATTCAAAAGATTTTGACATCACATATCCACCCAAGACCATAAGACTTTAGAGGTATGGGTCATTTCTCTTATATACCAAACATTTTCTCCATTATAGTCTTTGTGAGACTTTATCCACTCACACTTAAATTCAAACAAAAAAAAGATGCGCATAACCAGACCAAAAAGCAATGCACACTAACAATATAGAAACAAAACACCAATATGATGAAAGTGTCTGTTGAACATCCAGCATCTAGAATGAAAAATCAACTACGATTAGCCTTGATGGTGGCTGAACCCCAAAAAACAAAAGAACTATGATTTCAACCCTTGTTAAAAAAACTAAAAACTATTAATATATTCCCAACCGTTGGGAAACACCACAGTAGAACAACTGAGAGACGATTCAAGGATATGATCAGACTAAGCATTAGATACCATGTTAAATTAAAGTTTGATCTAATTCATTCTTACAAAACTGATTTATAGGATGAGAATTACCCCACTAATAAACACATTGTCAAACCATATATTATTTGATGTGAAACTCTTAATACTACAAGCGAATAGAAGAAACGTGTATTTTGGAGATAATTAACATCATAGCCTATTGAAGACAGAACTTAATAACTTTCTTTCAGGTTCAGCAAGCATTTTTAAGCCAGTATCCAAATGAGAGTTTTAAATGGTGCACCAGTAATTTGATATCGAAATTATTTTCCATTTTTTTTACTGAGGAGACAATTACCAAGTCAATTCTATAAACAGTACTATATGATCAATCAAAATAACCAATTTTTTTTTACCTCCCCTTTTCCGAAAATGAGACCAGAAGTCCAAGTAAGTTTCTCTCCAAAAGGATCTTCGTCTTGCCGATCAGGGGCTAAGCTGTCCTTTTGTTTCTTCAACCAACACTGAAACAACCAAATCAAATGCCGTGACTTTTTAACTCAAGATCATCTTTTCTTATTAAGAGAATAAAATCTAAATCGGAAAAAAGAAGACTAAAACTATTGTCCCGAACTCAAACAAACTCTATACTACATAATTCACTCCAAAATAATTTTCAAAAAGCCATAACAGAAACCAACACAGTGAAATGATTCCCATGAGTTAGTACTGATTTTCCACTTCACATCCACTAGAACCTCCAAACAAAGATACACAAATAGCAACACCAATTCCAAATTGATAAAAACTGAAGAGCTACAAAGCTGTAAAACACTGTAACATAGACATGAACACGACACGACACTGATAGTGTTGACA